CGAGATATTCAGCGTATAGTAATACAAATGAGGCCTTAATCAACAAGAAAGTCGTCGATCACCTGGATAAAAACAACCTCTTGTGCGACGAGCAGTATGGGTTTTGATCAGCTCGATCCACTGCTGATATCCTAACTACGATTACACACAGAATTAGTGAGGACCCTGATGATACAAACCGCAAGGGCCCTAGCATTAGGTCTTTGACAAGGTGTGATACAGTAGTTTGCTGCATAAGCTCTCCAGTTATGGAATCCCTGGAAGGGTTTCTTTTATTATTATTGTAAAAACCTTGATTACAGGTACATCCCTGTTGGTAGTTATTAACACCCGGTCCTCCAAGGCCTCGGTGGCCAACACAGGTATCTCCGAGGGATCACTTCTTGTACCAAGCCTCTTTCTGATTTGCATAAAAGATCTAAGAATATACTGATGATATGCTGATATACGGACACATCTCTAAAAGTTTTGATGATCAGAAATTGGCAGCTTAACCTCTCTAACGCTAACTTCTCAGTGGGGAAAGAAATTGGCTGATTACATTCAATGCTTCTAAAATCAAACTGGTTACATTCCATTTCCGCCAATCAGAGCCCGAACTGCTGCTAGTCACGATACATGGATGTCCCTTCAGGGAGGCACCGTGACTCGAGAGGATATTGGGCCTCAAACTCATAATCGACCTCGAGTGGAATTTCTATACACGATCTATCACTAAATATGCAGGTAAAATCATCGGCCCTTTGTACCGCCCCAGTAAGTATCTGACTTCTCAGGGTACCATCATTATCCAGATCAGGCCGAAAATGGACTACCGTTACGATATTTGGGTGGGAATTGCCCAGAACTCACTCTCCAGTTTCGATAGAGTTCAAAATCATCTCAGAAGAATTATTTTCCACTCTCCAACCTCTCTCTCTCTCCCTCCCTCTCTCTCTCTCTCCCTCTCTCTCTCTCTCTCTCTCTCTCAGTTGGCATGTGGTGAGTCTCTCACTACCATAGAAACACGAACTGCATCTCCTGGTTCCACTAATTCTAATTCTACGTGCCATGCCTCTTTTGGATATCTCGGGTAGTTAAATTCATGATAAACGGTTAACTCAACCATTCCTTGAGAGAATATTGAGCCTCAAACTCACTCCTGACCTCGAGTGGAACTCTTATATACGATCCATTGTCAAAGATACTCCTCGTGGTATCCTTTATCTTTATAAGAGCCAGATCAGGCTGAAAATGGAGTATTGGTGCCATATTTGGGCAGAAGCTGCCCACTCCTCACTTTCCAGTGTTGATATAAAGTTCAAAAGTGTCTCTGAATCCTTGTTGGAGAAGAATTATTTTCCTCCTTCCAGCCTCTCTCTCTCTCTCACTGCTCTGTTGCTACTTTCAAAGAAAGTTCTTGGATAAATTACATTCCTTGGTTCCACCAAGTTTAACCTTCACAGCCAGAACCTCTATGCAACTTACATGGTAGCAAACCACTTACATTCCCTTCGTATTCCATCAGTGAGAAGTAAGTATCCTTACCTTGTTCTTGTCACAACGTTTCGACCGCTGTGCCCCTGCGACAGTCAATTATGATATCTGACTTATGAAATTTGAACGAGAACAATAGGTTTTCGAAAATTAAATAAAGTGTTAAGTTAGAAACCCTCCGCAGGATAATTGAGTAGATAGAAGCCTGAAGAATGCTCGGAGTACACCAGTCGAAATGTTGTGATAATACTGAAGACAATAGACCGCATGAGAAAATAGTTGTGTGTTATCTTTAACAAAATTCGTTTAATATATATATATATATATATATTTCCGTGTATGTTTGGGTGTGAATATAGAAAGGGGAGAGAAGAAATGAGAGAAATAGAGAAGCCAAACGAAACGATACATCAGGGCAGTTAGTATATATATATATATATATATATATATATATATATATATATATATATATATATATATATATATATATAAAAAAGGCAAACACTAATATTACATGGTTATAATTTATTACATTGAAATCGTAATCACGATCCAAATCATCAGACCTATAAAATTTAAAAAAAATTGGACATTGAATTCTACCTGGATTTTATCCTGTTGGGAATTTATGTATTTATATATTTCAGTTCTACCTGGATTCTATCCTCTTGAGAATTTATATACATATATATATATATATATATATATATATATATATTGACCACTAATATTATCTATCTATCTATCTATCTATCTCTCTCTCTCTCTCTATATATATATATATATATATATATATATATTGACCACTAATATTATCTATCTATCTATCTATCTATCTATCTCTCTCTCTATATATATATATATATATATATATATATATATATATATATTGATCACTAATATTATCTATCTATCTATCTCTCTCTCTCTCTCTATATATATATATATATATATATTGACCACTAATATTATTCTATCTATCTATCTATCTATCTATCTATCTCTCTCTCTCTCTATATATATATATATATATATATATATATATATATTGACCACTAATATTATCTATCTATCTATCTATCTATCTCTCTCTCTCTCTCTCTCTATATATATATATATATATATATATATATATCAAGAGAAAAATGAAAGAAGGAAACTGAGAAGTAAGTTCCACTCAAGCAAATTCTCCTCGCGAAGCATTGCTCCGTGGAACCGACTTCCTCAATCACTACAATCTTAACCTTTTCAAGTTCAGAGTTAACAGTTGTCTTCCTCTCCTATCCATATAAACTACCCCCAGCCCTTATCGTAAGCATTTCTCCTCCAATAGCACCCGGGCCTTGTACAGGTTGAACGTTACTGGGAAAAAAATTATTTCCAATGTTCAAACATGAATTATCCCCTTTGCTGTTTTAGTCTTTGCATCGGGAAAAAAGTGGATGAATATGTCACTGTTGCAAAGCCTAGAAAGAAAGAAAGAAAGAAAGAAAGAAAGAAAGAAAGAAAGAAAGAAAGAAAGAGAGAAAGAAAGAAAGAAAGAGAGAAAGAAAAGGAACAGACAGGTTGAAAGCAAGAAACAAAATAAAACGAAAGAAAGAAAGAAAGAAAGAAAGAAAGAAAGAAAGAAAGAAAGAAAGAGAGAAAGAAAGAAAGAAAGAAAGAAAGAAAAGGAACAGACAGGTTGAAAGCAAGAAACAAAATAAAACGAAAGAAAGAAAGAAAGAAAGAAAGAAAGAAAGAAAAGGAACAGACAGGTTGAAAGCAAGAAACAAAATAAAACGAAAGAAAGAAAGAAAAAGAAAAAAAAGAAAGAAAAGGAACAGACAGGTTGAAAGCAAGAAACAAAATAAAACGAAAGAAAGAAAGAAAGAAAGAAAGAAAGAAAGAAAGAAAAGGAACAGACAGGTTGAAAGCAAGAAACAAAATAAAACGAAAGAAAGAAAGAAAGAAAGAAAGAAAGAAAGAAAGAAAGAAAGAAAGAAAGAAAAGGAACAGACAGGTTGAAAGCAAGAAACAAAATAAAACGAAAGAAAGAAAGAAAGAAAGAAAGAAAGAAAGAAAGAAAGAAAGAAAGCCTAAAAGAAGGAAAGATTGAGAGTATGTGGGGAAATAAATGACAAAAGAGGGAGAAGTGGTAAATATGTCACTTTTTCAAAGTCTGAGAAATAAAATAGCGTTTAAAAACAGCAACTCAAAAAAAGAAAGAAAGAAAGAAAGAAAAGAAAAGAAACAGAAACAGAAACAGAAAGAAAGAAAGATAGAAAAGAAGGAAAGATTGAGAGTAAGTGGGAAATATGTCACTTTTCAAAGTTTGCGAAAGAAAATTAAAGAAAGAAAGAAATAATGAAAGAATGAAAGAAAAGAAAAAGAAAGAAAGAAAAGAAAGCCTAAAAGAAGGAAAGGTTGAGAGTATGTGGGAAAATAAATGACAAAAGAGGGAAAAGTGCGAAATATGCCACTGTTTCAATGTCTGAGAAATAAAATGAAAGAAAGAAAGAAAGAAAGAAAGAAAGAAAGAAAGAAAAACTGAGTGAAAAATTGACAGAATGTTCGAAAATGAATGACAAAAGTGGAAAATTCGGGAAAACAAAGTCGGAAATATGCCACTCTTGGAAACTTTATGAAGTAAAATTAAAGCAAGAAAAGGAACAGAAAGAAAGAAAGAAAGAAAGAAAGAAAGAAAGAAAGAAACAAACAAACAAAATCTTGACGGCAAATCAACTGATATTTTCGAATTATGGAGGAATAGGCGAAATAAAGTCCACTCCATGTCATTGTGCATTTGACATTCGTCCGAGCAGATGCCTTACTTTACAACCGGTTTGATTTCTCTTTCAAATCTCGAGTCCCGCTCCAGCTTAAAGCGCGCGCTTAATTCCCTTCGAATTCTCATAAAACAACAATCTCTCCTCCCCTCTCCCCACTCCCTTCATTCTATTTTCCCTCGTCTCTCGCTATCTATATCCATATATATATATATATATATATATATATATATATATATATATATATATATTCACAGAGAAAGAGAGAGGGAATATGTGTGTACGACTGCAAAGTAAATTGAATTAATAGTTAACAAACGTCCCACGCAAATCCTGATTACAGAGCAGTGAATTTGGTCCTCATTGGATACTCTGCATAAACTGATTGATCATTATTCTCCACAGCTTCCTGCCTTTTGCTAATCTTATTTCTTCTGTCATCTCACTGTTCAAATATTTCTTGTAGGTTACTGGCTACTTACCATCGGTTTTCTTGCCTTCATTATGCCTTTTGAGTGTTAAATTCTCCAAGCCTTTTTTCCTTCACTACGTCTGACAGAATTTCCGGCTTCCTCTTGATCATTGTCTTAATGACTTCCTTTGTAGTTTCTGTTTTCATTAAAATTTCCTCGTTTCTTACATGCTATGTCCATGGTATTCTCCCTATTTCTGAGTACAATCACGTGATAATGGTTTCAGTTAGTTTTCTAACTGCCCAGATTAGATCTTACAAATCCAGGTAAAAATAAAAGTTATAGGTACAAAAAAAAGTCACAGGAGAAAAATTCACAAAAAAATGTCACAGAAAAATTTTACTGAAAAAAAAATTACGGGGAAAAGTCACAAAATGTTACAGAAAATATTTAATTACAGAAAAAAAGGTTACAGAAAAAAAAGTTACAGTAAAAAAGTCACAGAAAAGTTACAGGAAAAAGTCAGAGAAAAAAGTCAGAGAAAAAAGTTACAGTAAAAAAGTGCCAGGAAAGAAAGTCGCGGGAAAAGTCACAAAAAATCACTGAAAAAAGTTAAGTAAAAAAGAAACATAATAATTTTAGTACTGTTTCTGTGTCTTTCTATAACACTCACGCACGACCCGGTCGATCCTGGTCAGTACCGTTGTTGGTCGCTGGCCGTTTTGATCCACACTATTCCTGCACACTTTATGTTCTTTGATCTCAAAGCAATGAAGATCGAATGTCGTCAGCACTTTGGCAAAGCTGTATCATGAAAGAAATAAAAATGTTCTCGCAGACAAAATAAAAACGGAAGATTCGTCGAGTTAATTTGAAATTGGTTTATATAGTCCCTGGAACAAAAATCAAACCATCCCTTTTTAAATTTCTATAATGACGCTTTGCTCTTCTAAATTTTAGAACGGTGTTCACATTCAGAAATCGAGTCCAGCCCAAGACCAGCGTGGGTTCGACTGGTCTGGGGATTTCGGTAATTCCTCAACTTTCAGATTTAGTTGCAGGTATCGCCCCGCCTTTATAACTCATACTTTCTCTTATTTTTGCCTCGCACCATTTTTTCCAAATGGGCGGCGGTAAATTTTATCTCTTTTCTCCTCCTCTCTCGGTATTCAATCTGAGACCATCCTCACAGGGAGCTCTTGACTGGCTTTTTGACAATTCTAATTTTTATACGGAGTAGGCGAAGAGGCGGTTTTATTTTAATCATTGATTTTCCATAACGCATATTTGCCAGCCTTTGGTCTTCGTTGGTTCTAGCGCATCTACAACCAATCATTCTGCTTCCACAGCCCTCGAGTTACCATGCAGAAAACCCTTTCAGGTTATTTATCATTTCAATTTCATTTTCGGGTCTCTCGAGTTATTTATATTTCCACGATTATATTTCAAATGGCCCTTTAGCCTGGCCTGCTAAACGTAACCTCCATTTTTGTTGACGGCCATAAAACAAATATTATTTCCCAATTCTATTTTTAATTCCCAATGTTAGCGAATAAACTGGGAATATACTGTAACGATTTCGGTCCATATTATTACATTAACCCCTTTAGTGCCACCGGTGTCACCTAATGTCACATTTCTTAAATTGACTTTTCTAACCCTGACCTAATCATAAATCCATCTCTAACCCTAGTATCTCTAACTCTAACCCTGACCCTGTAGAAAGCGTGAATAATTGAAATCTCAGATCTCCATGGAAATTCTTCACAGCAATAATTGTGGTTCAAAAATCTGCTTCAATAGATTCACGTATATAAAACATGTCACTTACAAAAGTAAATTGTGAATTTTATCTTCGCCAAAATTGTGACTTTATTACCGGCAACGGATATTACATAGGTTTTCTTTTTTCTAAGAATATATTTCGAGGAAAACCCTAAGATAAACTTCGTAAATAACTATATACCATCCCCTCTCTCCCTCTCTCTCTCCCTCCCTCTCTCTCTCTCTCTCTCTCTCTATATATATATATATATATATATATATATATATAAGAATTTCTCAGAGTTCACCTGTAGAAAAAGACAATATTGTATAACTGTAAAAAAAAACTGTAAAAACAAAAGATTGGAAAAAAAACTGGAAAAAACTGGAAAACTGTATTATTAGCCGAAATTTATTGAAAACAAAATAACTATTAAAAACAAACAAAATGTCCTCAGTAAGTAGAAGAATTTAGTAAACGCTATTGCATTCATATTGTCAACTGAAAATCACATCAGATATTTTCACTACTTTCCCAAGCCAACGTACACAGTTGTATCAAGTCATGAAAAGAAAATGTTTGAATCCGTCAACACAACAATAAAAACAATATTTCCACACGTGACAGTACTTGACGTAATTTTCAATTGACGATATGAATATAACAGCATTTTCTAAGTTCTTCCACTTGCTAAGGACATTTTGTTTGTTGTTAATAGTTACTTTGTTTTCAATAAATTCATTTCGTTTTTGCCTTGAAAAGTCTTATTGGGACGAAACACGTTGAATAATAATAATACAGTTTTCCTATAGTCTTTTACCTTTATATATATATATATATATATATATATATATATATATATGATATAACGATTTGTAATTTTGTATAATTTTATATATCAACAAACAGTATTTAGAAAAATATGACAAACTGGAAAAGTTTTTGTGGCGCATTTCATCCGTTAGGACTTGATCGAAAATTTTTCTAAAAAATATTTTTGAAAGAAAACCGTTTCTTCCAAAATTTTTGAAACTTCCTGTGTCTTGCGTTTTGTGCGCATGTGTAGACGTGGCAACGTCAACAAACCCCAGTCCGATGAAATCGTAACGGATGAAACGCGTTAAAAGATTCTCTAGTTTATCATATATATATATATAGTCATCCAGGGACAAATTGTTTCGCTGTAGCACATTTCTTCAGTGAGGCTGGACACAGAAATGCTTCAAGTCGTCAGCTACATAAATTCATTTCAATCATACTTTTGATAGTTTTGTAAGTTGTGTAATGTATCTCGATTCATTAGAAATTTATATATTATATTCACCAATATACATCTATCTATCTATCTATCTATCTATATATATATATATATATATATATATATATATATATATTATGAAAATGCATGAGAAATGATTTTACTATGAAAATTTTCAGGCAGACCATAGACTGGGAGTTCTGTTAATGTCAATGGCAGTACGTCCTTCTTTGATCGATGGCTGTTTTTGGTTTCTGTTTCATATCCAAAGTTATGCAACACCTGAATAAAGACCGAAACGATGCCAGCCATGCAGTAAAAATGGCTCCATCTGCTCGGCTGAAAAGCCTAACAATTTGATTAATAGCTTTGGAGAAAATGGTTTGAAAGGCCTTACTTTCAAAATAGACGGTCAAAGATAGATAGATAGATAGATAGATAGATAGATAGATTTGAACTGGCTGATATAGATATGAATCGACGGAGATAGAATTGAACTGACATAGATAGATAGATAGATTTTTGAGATGAGTTGTTTTAACTATTTACATTGTTCGAACTATTATCTTTTTCTTTGTTGTCATATTCATGTACGCACTTCCCAATGGATAAACGCTTTGATTAAAATAATCCATTGACTTGACCCAAAGAGTTATGAGTTCAATACCTGACCACAGCAGAGGTGAACGAAAACTTGGAGCGGTGAGTTACTAAAAAAAGGGAAATAACATAAAGTCATAATTTATTAAGAGCTACAAAGGACAGGGAATTGTGGACTCTTCCGCCTACTATAAAATTAGTAGGAGAGAAGGCCTTGCAGGAATAGTCAAATAGATTGAATTCTGGGTCAACCGACACACACTCACTAGTCGTGTAATACTCTTCTGTTGTACTTACTGTTTAATATATGATATATCTGTAATACTTGTTTTGTTATTTCTTTAACCATTTACTTGGTCACAACAGCTATGATCGCCAACGTCCTGAGATGAAGTAGACATTTTTGTATCTTACTATGATTTAGAATGAGAGAGATTTCATGTGTGTAGGTCTCTGATTAACAGCAAAGAGGTTTAAAATAGAAAGATATTTAAAATATCTAAGAAAGATTTAATAATAAAGTGGATTACATAAATATTTAGAACTGTGTTTCCCAAACTGTGCGGTCCGCCTCATAGGTGAGGCGCAAGAGGATAGCAGATGAGGCGGAAGCGGATAGCAGGTGAGGCGGAATCATTGAAAGACAATCAAAGATTTAGAAATAGTTTCAAAAAATTCATGAATGACAAAAATAAATGATTTCAATTATATATTATTATGGATTACTTGTAATTGCATGCATGAGTCCGCGTATAAATAGTTATAAATAATTATTGACTGATTTTATCATTGCGATATTTTTTGTATTATATGAATTATTAAGAATATAGTAACTAGGGTCCGCAAATTGGAGGAGAGAGTTATCAATGATAATGTTCTGACTTTGAATCTGCGGTTATCTCCCTTTAACCTTCTCTCTGATATATTTTTTTTTAAAATTTTAAATGCACTTTCTATCACATAAAATTTAGTCAGGTGCGAGCAAATTTTAATTCGGAAAATGCGGCTAAGAGAAAAAAAAAGTTTGGGAATCAATGATTTAAAATAAGAGAGATTTGAGATCGGACAAAGTTTGAGAAAAGGTGCATGAGAGAGAGAGGGAGGAGAGACAGGAGAAGAGAGAAGGATAGAGAGATCGTGAGGGAGAGAGAGAAGAAAAGAGAGGGAGGGAAAGAGAATCGAGAGGGAGAGGAGAGAAATCGTGAGGGAGAGAGAGATCGAGAGGAAGGGAGAGAGAGAGATCGAGAATGAGAGAGAGGGATATATATATATATATAGAGAGAGAGAGGGGAGATCGAGAGAGAGAGGGAGAAAGAGATCGAGAGGGAGAGAGATAAGAAAAGAAAGGGAGGGAAAAAGAATCGAGAGGGAGATGAGAGAAATCGTGAGGGAGGGAGAGATCGAGAGGGAAAGGGGGAGAGGGAGAAAGAGAGATCGAGAGGGAGAGAGAGAAGGAGAGAGAGAGCGAGAGAGGGAGAGAGAGGGATATATATAGAGAGAGAGGGAGAAAGAGATCGAGAGGGAGAGAGAGTTAGAGTTAGAGAGAGGGATAGGGAGAGAGTGAGAGGGAGAGAGAGGGAGAGAGAGAAAGGGGGGATTTAACAAAGGTACGTCACTAATAGACCGGAAGCCTGGTAAGTAGGCATGATTTTCTTTGAAAGCAACAGCTTCTTCTTTCTCTTGGACCGATCATAATACCATGAGCGTCGACCAGCGACATCAAAGAGACGTTAGCGCCACCTGGTGACAACGTTTGTACATAGTATTCGCTGGCTCTGGACAACTTCCGCTCTCACACCTGTTTGTTTGCCAGCAAAAATCCGATACCTTCCAACCAAAACACCGTCGAAACGTACCATCCGCCTTCGAGAGAAAAAAAAAAGTCCGACCTCACCCCCCGGATCCATTTTCATCCAGATTAACTCCCCTAACGCCAGCCAACCGAACACACACCGCTGACTCTATCCACTACCCCAGACAAGTAGGCACGACGACGTCACCTTTTCTCTTTCGTTTTTATTATCTGAAATTAATCGCATTCCAACGGACACCAAAAAGTTGTTTTGAATCGTCTTCTCTGTCTCCTTCGACCACACCCACCCATACCCGACTCACCGACTGCTGGCCCTACCCCCCACCAAACTTCCCCCTCACGCCGCTGCCGCCATAAATACTTACTTAGACGCAGAAAATAAGCAACCGCCGCCGATCGCCGTCCGATTTCATGTCGGTCGGGATTTGTTTGTGTGGAAATTACACGATGGTCTCCGTGCTTCTCGAATATTCTACGAAAACGAGCACTTATCAGGCTTAGTTTGGCGCAAGGCCAATAAAAATGTGCTGATGCATCGCTCTTCAACGGCAGATTACGTTAATGAAATAAAATGAGGATTCGTTACATGAATATTTTCCTTTTATATGTTTTCTGCCAAAACGTGGCCGATCATGGCTTTCCACAGAATCCTTTTTAAGATAATCTTAGACCTTCGTGCCGAGAGGGGTTTTCCCTTGACACCTTCACTCATTGCCGGGGAGTGAATGTAGTTAAAACAATAATGGTGTCAAGGGAATAACTGTTCGTTTGACACTCCCATTTTTCCAGGCACGAAGATTGTCTTGAAAAGCGATGATTAAAATTGTAATAAAACCTAAAGATATGATGAAAGTGAATTTATACATTTTTTTGTTCTTGGAAATTACAATAAAAATATGAAACACTATTTATTAGATTGTTTATTTACAAGAATAAATTTATATTTACAACATTGTAAAAACCTAATAAAGTTGAATTGCTGTTGTTTACTTTTGTTATAAATCACTCGTAGCGGTTGTAACATTATGTCTTGCTTGGCCTACTCGCCATGACGTCATTTAGAAATTCTCCTAACATTAACGAACTATTATTTATTTTTTTAAAAATACAAAAAAAAGGGGGGCACAATGCCAAAAATGGGGATGGAGAATGTTGATCATCATCTGTCTTATCTTAAACTTAGGTAGTCACAATCACTGACCCAAACAAACTAGACAATATTCCATGCACCAAAACACTACATTTTTACCATTCTTAGTACAATCACCATAATACCTCAAGTCTCTATGAAGACTAATCCCGATGTATAGAATTTGTCTGTGGGGAATAGAATAACAATATTTAAAGAGGAACGGAGTAGGCACAGTGGAGTAATGGATAGCGGAATTGGGGGAATCGGCAGAGCCGAGTTCGAATTCCAGTCAAATCCATTACATTCACTTACGTGCTAATACTCTTGGGAAAGGTATGAATCCTCTTCTTCTCCAGTAAATAGCAGGACAGGCCGGATTCTATACACTTGGATGAAAGAAATGGCAACCTAAAATCTGTCTCGTCAGTCATGTATCGAAAGATACATAATCGCCTAGTCGTGTGTCACGCATGGCACATAACTGATTGACTGAAGGATGAAAATCCCAATAAATATTTACAATATGCATAATAGTATACATACAAGAATCTAAACAAAATGGTGTTTGTAATTGTTGGGGCCACCCACCTTCTGACTAAGAGATCACGAGTTCAGGAGATCATTCCACTTCCGTCTCTCGACCGGAAGATACCGTTGGACTGTAGACTCTTGCTGATTGTTACTTTCTAACCTGCGTTCGTTCTTACTAATCCCTCTGTTGTTAAATACCTCTTCAAATATACCAGTATTTTTCCCTACATCTGTGTTTGTCTTTATTTGAATACACACACGCGGGAACACTCCCAACATCTCAACAGTAATAAAAAAAAACACAATCCTTAATTTTAGCAGAAATATCAGTTAACTTGGATGAATTAAAAACCAATCATTCGAGCAACCATATACGCAACTAAACACTCATTCAGACATGACAACAAATACAAAAGAACACAGTTGAAAAGGGAAAAGTGTCCCAGATCTACTAGAGAACTGACTTGTCTGGTCACCTAACGGGGGAGAGGATGAGGAATTAAAGTGTACACAAAAATAAAAGGGACCAATGAGCATACATCCCTCTAGCTAAGTTAACTTAGATAACTAAAAAAAAAACATTTGATAACTAAAAAAAAAAAAACTAATGGAAAGACTTAAATGAATTAAAAAAGTTGAAAAGAGAAAAGTGTCCTATATCCACCAGAGAACTGACTTTTCTCGTTACCTAAAAATAAAAGGGCCAATAAGCATGCGTCCTCTAGCTAACTTAAATTGGCATAAAGAAAACTAAAAAAAAAAGCCTAAACTAACCTATTTTGGGCGGAATTGCAAATGTTTAATACAGGCTCCTTTCACTCGACAGATACACGCAGGACTCACCCACCTCTTGCCAAATTCCGATGGAGGGAGTCGTCGCCTTTCCGTTCTGATCTTGCTTTAAGCTAATGCTTAAAGAAGATTAGTTGGGAAGAGGTAAACTTCTCGTCTCCATAGAATTCTTTCTGTCGCGCCGTCCATATCACGGCTCGCGTAACACCAAATAAGTAAAAGAACACATAGTGCTCAGCCTTAGTCAACGACGTTATCAAATTGCTACAAGCAGAACTGGCCTCAAGGAGAAAGAACTTTACGCGCCACATGCGAATCCTGATGCCACCAATGAACTTGCACAGCGGACCTACGACCTTGCAAGGGAAGAATCCGTGAACTGGAGTTTCCACCAACTCAGCGCATCGGACACGATTAGGAGAATTTCCCAAGCCCGCTTAGGAAATTTTAGCGACCCAGAAGGCCTTTCGCATTACCAACCAGTTGAGTGATGTCTCGTTGTTAGTGAGGCATTTCAACCCAGGCACACAAGGCCATATGGAGCGAGGCTGCTGCTTTGTTAAACCGAGCTCGCCATTCAGACAATCTTGATATAGATAGATGGACGTTGTAGAGGTCATACGTCTCTAATAAGAGGAAATTGAGAGCTAACCAGTATTCATGATAGAAGGTGAATTCGCCTCGGTGTAAATAGTAGGCGTCCTCCTCGCACGAGTTTACACTTCCTTCCAGAATTTGTCATTCCCATCCGCTTGCGGACACATTCGGTCTAGGAACGCGAAGCTTATATTAATGAATCTCAACGCTAGGCATACCCAGACAGCTTTCAGAAGGGTGGAGGTAACAGATCTCCCGACATACCTTGGGAGCCTTGCCTCCTGACAAGAAAGAGAACAACTAATTGCATTAGTGTGTCATACGGGTGTGGAAGCACAGAGAGCCGGTACAGGAGAATTGGGTAGATATGCGAAACCCATACTTCCGCCTTCCGTCTTTAAGAAAAGATTCCTCAGAAGGCCAAAGACGAACTGCGCCCTCGACATTTTCCTGCACCTCCGACCAATTCATTTCCAGCAAGAGATCGGGACCGAACCAGACGCCAAATATACTGACTGGTCCGTTCGTCCAGAGGAAACGCCCGGGAATAGAAACTCCCTTCCACACGCCTAACCGCAAGCCAAGAGAGATCGCGGTTGATCCTGGACCCTGTCACCGACTCGTAACCTCTGATTTCTTTGCTGACTTCGTCAATCTCGGCACTGCTTGAAACAAAAACCGAAACGTTATCAGTTATAGTCGAAGTACCTGACTGATGTGGTAGCACCAGCTAAGGAGATTCTGTGTAAGGACGGATTCGTGTTTAACTTGCGAAAGAAAAGCTCCAACGAACGGAAGAACGTAAAACAAAAGCGAAAGCAGAGAACCTTGACGAATGGCACCGATCGTAGACCATTCACTTCCACCCACGCGCTAGGGGATGCGTACGGAAGTCGGATCCAAGTGCGAAAGTACGGCTTGAAACCGATGTCTGAAAGGACAGCCTGCAGAAGACGATGGTCAACCCTATCGAATTCCTTGGACTGATCTAAATTGATCAGCGCGGGTTCACTGTCGACTTGATCGATGATGAAGCGTACCAAATGAAGGTTGTCCTGAACAGTCCTACCCTTCAGAGCACTAGTCTGCTCAGAGCCAATCAGACTAGACAGCAAACGGCTGGCTAAGATGTTAACTAAAATCTTCAGCTCTGTATTTAACATCGTCAAAAGCCGAAAGTTACCTATCCCATCCCCACCGTTCCTTTTATTTATTTATTTATTTGCGTAGTAACTTGAGCATACCGCTGGTGAAGCGTTGAGGTGTAGACCGCTGCTTCATCCAGTTATTGTAAATCATTTCCAGCAAGGAAAGAACAACTGGTGACTGCCTCAAATAGAGACTGTAAGGAAGACCATTAATCTCGCAGTTTTGCCCCAGCCAACCAGCTTCAGCGCTTCCCAGATCTCAAACTCTGTGATGAAACCTCACACCCAGCCATTCCAGCCAGAAAGTCAGCCAAATAGGCATTGAACTGATCATGGCTCAGACCGAGCTTCCTGGTGAACAGATGCTGAAAGTAGTCTCGAAAAGCCTTACATATACCCGCATTTGTAGTCACGTTCCGCTTGTCCGGCAATGTGATGCTTGCGATATTTCGATTGGATGCACATATCAAGCCTCCTCTACAGGCAACTCAACAACCATGTTTGTTGCCTCGGAAGACATTCTTTTTAACGTAGCCCTAACTACATGGTTCATCCTGCTTAACACTGAACCATCAATTAAAGTTACACCACTACTAACCATGGGTAAATCATACCCGATTTTTAAAAATATCAACAACAAAAAATATATTAAATATAAATCTTATATTTTACATCCAGGCATTTCAATCTTTGTCCTTTGAGTTAAC